GCGGTAGCGGTAAAATATTTTTACCGTTACCGCACATCCCTAATTGTGATAACTTTACTTTACAATAAACTAAATACAGCCAGTTTTCCTTTTAATTAATCAAAACAATGATGACAAAGGTGGTGCTAATGAAAAACATTTTTTTCAAACTGTGAAGATCTTGAAAAATCGTACATGTCAATAATGTTGGGTCAAGATCTTGAGTCAAACTAATTGAGAGTGACAAAGTCTTGAGTCAAGTCCGTCAGGATATCTTGATCTATGCCTAATTGAAGTTCTATAGTTTAGGTATGATTGATTAGAGAATTTCAAGGCGCATAGTTTGCGAAAAGAAGTAGTTGAGATCAACAATATTTAATCACGCTGAACAGAAATGTATATGACCCCCCTAATTGTGATTTAACTCGTAATAGTTATAACTATAAATACTCCACAAGAGAAAACTCATTTTTGTGTTGGCAAAGTTAACATGAACATAGTAACACTCTTTAATCTGATCAACCCATTTGTTGACACCGGCTGCTAATAAACCTTCTTGTGCTTTTTTTCGGGCACCACGATTCTAGTGACTTGTCATTTCATTCGATATCATTTCATCTTTCAACAAATTTAACAGCAAGGTTGTTTCTGCATTAGACCGCCAAGATCTTTTTGCCCAAATAATGCTGTATACGAACGAGAATTACTAAACACGTTTTCCTATATATTTTTCTTTTCTTTCTTTGCTTTAACAGTACGAGACTGTATAGAATGGTGTGCGTCAAATAGTGCTAACTGCTCACTACATGATTACGAAATGTCAGATATCCTTCTTCAAACGACGTTCCGGAAACGTTATAAGTGTTCTGTGCTCTTAATCATGTTAGATATATAGTATTATGTGATATTTTCCTGGGGTCCTGGCAGTACATAAGCATAAAGAGAACAAAAAACATTAGCAGAAAAAAACAAAAAACATTGAAGGATATGTACAGCATTCTCTTAAAAATAATTAATAGTTCACAGACAATGAACATATCTAGTTTTAACAAAATTTTTCTATACACTTTTAAATATAAAAATATCACCTACCTAACCCCTATTCGTCCGGCTAGAACTGCAGCTAAATCATCAGCAAATAAAAAGCTTGAACAATAGTTTAGAAAATCGGTCATATCAGAGTGATAAGGGATAAATAACGTTGGAGTAACGATGGATCCCTGAGCGCCACCTTGTGACCAAAATGATTCTTCAAAGACTATCTTATTCTTGAATACTATTCAAAACAACGCTTGCAAATAAAACTGTGTTACCGACAAGTGGTTTCACACTATAACGTTATACACACAAAAGAAATCCAATCTTGCTCAAACAAAAAGAAAAGCACCAAATAACACCAAGGACAGCTTCGTCCTTCGCCTTCTCCTTTCCAACGATGGTAAAATTGCCTCCTTAAATGAGAAATTAAAGATTTTTAACAACAGAGACCAGTACAAGAGTAGTAGGTAGTTAAACATAAAATTAGATATACCGTGTGGATCGCATGATTTCTTTTTAACACGAGATCTAACAATATCCAAGACCTCGTCTATAGAAGCCGGAGGGATTACTTCATCATAGTTTTCAGAATCTGACCACGGTGCATCAGTATAAGAACGAGAGCGAATTATATCTTCGGATTTCTTAGAAAAAACTTCATAAAAGTCAGCCCCAATATCTGCCATCTTATCGGGATCCTTAGCTTTTTGCTCCTGTTGGTACAATACAGTAACAGAACAACACTGCTTTATCTATAAAGAGAAAGTTTATTCAGTCCGTGTGAAAATTATAGTTATACAGACATGAGTGTATGCTTCAACTTTTCCAGATTGCTTTAAGAGAAAAAGCGCGTTTCGCTCAGCGATCGAGCTGTTTGAAATACCATTCTCGATCAGGAGTCCTAATCTAGTAAAGATGAACTTTCTCAATGACAAAGCACGATGGAAAAAGAAGCAATATGTACTTTTAAAGCTCGTTTAATGGCGGTTGTAACGAAGTGCAAAAATCGGCTCCATCTTTTCAAAGAAAAATCTAGGTTGGTTTGAAAAATTGTTCCTAAACTTTTTATAGCGAGAGTCCAAGATCGATTGCTTTTTTCTTTTTCTATATTCGTATAATATACCGTTCGATTTTGCTTTTCCGAGGATCAAAAATATTATCTTATTTTTACTAAAGGACGTAATGAAAATGGGCAAAATCAGTTTTAAGACCAAAACGGTCAATAACGTATACGAAGCTTTGTCAATGTTGAATTTTTTTTCTTATTAATACAGCCGGTCTCAAAAGACTCAAATTATGTTGCTAGATAGATTTAAGTATCAGGCAATTTTTGACAAAGGTTGGGAGTGGTACTGTATTTCTTTGACCTCCTATAGAAGTTTTAGTGAAGCGTATGAAAAATGAAAATTTCAAATTTTGCTCGAAAAATTATTTTTTCTCAAACAACAACCATGTTATTTTAATTCTTTTATCGCCAGTTTAGAGCGCGTTTTACACTCTACAAAATCCAGTATAAGCAATATCTTCACTATACTTCCTTACTTAGTTGATAAATTTTTTCATCGCATGTCGGTAAATGGTCAAACTTTTTAAAAAATTATTTTTTGAGAAATGATCGTAGTTTCAAATCAAATGTTATATATGGTTAGATGCGCAATAAAATTCTCTATCGAACCTGCAATTCAGCTTTTTGATACTTTCAAATGTTTTAATCCGGTAGGGTCCTTTGACGATATATTGATTAATTTATAACATAAGTAACAAATTGATGAATCTCCAAAATGATTAGTTGCCCTTATAGAAATTATGTCATATTCACTAATTTTAGCATAAAACCTTAAACTAACAAAATACTACCAAATACACTGAAAAAAAATGACACCCCAAATCGTTCTTTTTTACGAACCGCTGAACCCTTTTGAGAAAGGTCATTTTTAAGGTGGGAAGCAGAGGAACATTTTTTGAGAAGAGAAATCGTATTTTAACGTGTCCTATGGTTTATTACTGTGTTTCGATATTGTACGATTTATTATAATAAAATTAAAATGGTGTTGATTATCTCGTTTTTATTCAAAGATTTCTATTTTCAAAGAATGGTTGAATAGAAAATATATTATTTGTTCTCTGGCATCTAACCTTTAGAAGTTACAAAAACTCCATCCTTTCATGTTTATCAAACTATGCATTATTTTTCGTTTCAACGAAGGGCGAGCATTTGCATTTTACAGCATAGAACATTTTATATACGTTATCACCTTCCGCAAACAAATCCGTGTGAAAAAAGATAGAAAAAGACCAAGAATCAAACAAAAACGAAAAAAGAAAACTGGATCAAAAGAAAAAAGGAAGAAGATGTGACTGCAATCGAAAAGGAAAAGCTCTTTCATACCTTAGGCGTCCCACTGTGGTGGTTATTTTGCCAAGGTAAAACGAAAAGACCGTAGTAACCTAGGCCATGAAAGCCTAGAATAGCCTTTACTATACGCCCTGTCTCATGGTTTAACATGGTTAAGATTTTATTAAAAATAAATGTAAAAGTATTAAAACACGAATTTTCCACTTATTTATACGGTCATTATCAAGTGAATATGTCGTACAGAGCGTTCCACTGAAGTAAAAATAAAACTGAACGGTATTAAAAATTATTTTTTCTTTACTAATAACTACTGATGGAAGTAAAGACGGTTATGAAGCACAAATGTATTACATAGCAATCGACGCCGTTTTCAATGTAGATTACTGGATTTTTACGCGTCGACTGTACAGTAAATTACTGATACCAATACTTGATCACCAGTATATTACCGATACCAATAATTTACTGGTGGTTAAATACTTGGGGTCTGAGCATTTTTTTGGGAACAGTTGGGTAATTCTCTTTTGGAACTTATCGTTTTAAAAATGACACATTAGCCAAAGATATCATCGATGCGAAAGTGTCATTTATTCCGTCAAAGCGATAAGTTCTAAAGAGAACTGCTCAACCGTTCCCAAAAGAAAAATTCTCAAACCCAAATATTTAATCACCAGAAAATTATTAGTACCAGTAATTTACTGGTGACCAAATATTTGTATTGGTGCATGCCTAATCATAACTTGAAACCTTTTTTATAGAAAAATGAGCTAGAGTCGGCTAATTTGACTGAGAACAGCTTTGCACACTTCTGACTTCCGAGCCGTGCAGCTCGTTCATTTTTAAAGATTTGAAAAAGTTTCTGTCACAAATCATGTAGAGTAAACATATTCCTACAAAACTGTCTTTTCCAACTTTCCAAAATCTCCAAAGGTAAAGTAGCTCCGCTAGTTTTTCCGAGATCGACTCTCGCATTTCACCCTGACTCCTGTTTCAAAGAACGATTCATGACTAGATACGAATCCCGGTTCCTCAAGTGTCAAAAAAATTTTGATTTTTTGGGGAGCGGAGAAGAGTGGCCGAAAATAATTTATTATGCTAATATATATTATATGTCCGTAGCTAATCACGTATCGTAATCACTTTTCTTTTCCTTTTCCTTCCTTTTAAGTATGTCCCCGAGTGCATTGTTTTTTAAGTCAATTTACTACACCGGTAGAGTAAAGATACATATAAAAAACACCATACATAGAACAATGATAAATATTTAATAAAAACTAGAAATAAAAAAATATGAAAAGAAAACAATTATACATAGTTTGATAAAACATGAAAGAATGGAGTTTTTGTAACTTCTAAAGATTAGATGCTAGAGAACAAATAATATATTTTCTATTCAACCATTCTTTGAAAATAGAAATCTTTGAATAAAAACGAGATAATCAACACCATTTTAATTTTATTATAATAAATCGCACAATATCAAAACACAGTAATAAACCATAGAATACGTTAAAACACAATAGAATTAAAATATCTTGTATGTAAAAAACATGCAGAGTAAAGCCTTTATTATTAAAAATTTCAAAAGTAAGGAAGCCTCGTAGTATGTTACAAGACTTTTATTAAATTAAATCATTTCTTTCATCATGAAGACGTCAACTTTTCTAATCATCTGTGCTAACGATATCTTCTCATCCGTTAAAACTTCCAGGTATTCATCAGTTCTATTCTCATCAAGCGTAGACTTTTTACAAAGTTTTATAAACAAGTTAGGAATAAAAGAACGCAACTTTGCATCTAATACAGCTTGTTCTTTTTCTGCATCTGATACACCCTGTCCTTTTTCTACATCTTTAAGCATGTGAGATTGTTTCAAGTTCATGATTTGTTCTTCGTAATAACTCTTTTGTTTGATCAATAACTCTTCAAGCTCCTGATTTTTTCCTTTCAAATCGTCAATCGTTCTTTGAAACATAGGAATATTCTGATTGATAGAACACAAACTATTTAATTTTTCCACAGTCTTCTTTATTTTGTCCTCTAATTCTTGTTTCTGAACTCTCAGCAGGTTACTTTCTTTTTCAAAATCAACATTTCTCTTTCTAAGGTCTTCAAGTTCCCTGAAACAACTTTGAATCTGAAGGCTTCTGGATTCTCCTTCTTTCTTAAGATAACTATTTAAACTCGTTTGACCAACAACCATCAGCTCTTTTGTATGGTTGAGTTCTTTTTCTAACTTAGTTGAATGTTGCTTTAATAAATCAAATTCAGATTCCAATCCATTCCGTTCATGCGTAAGATCATCAAATTCTTTTTGTTTCACATGTAAAGTATGTTCAAGATCCACAATACAGTTTTCTTTGTCTTTAAGATGAGAATTAGAAAAGTCTAATTCTCGTTTTATCGCAGACATTTCATGCTCAAGACTATCTTTCTCATGCTTCAGTTTTTCAATCTGCTTATTCGCTTCTGATAGATTATCTTCTAAATAGAGCTTATTTTTCTCCCAGACTTTTTTCTCGTGATCATTAGTGTTAAGAGATTCATCATATAGAAGTGATAGCGTTTTATACTTTTCCGCTTCTTCATGCAAACTTCTTTCAAGAGATTTCTTTTCGTCTTGTAAAACCTGTTTTTGCTCAGATGTTTCGCCCAATTCTTTTTCTAAATTTGTAATGCGCGTGTCACGCCAAATAATATCTTGAGTCAATAAACGAATTTTATTCCCCTGTTCTCTGACTTTCTTTTTGTTAAGAAAATCGTGTTCGAACGAAGAAGGTTCTTGACAAGAGGAATGATGAATATGTAGCTGGTTTTTGTTAATTTTGTTATGCGTCTTATCTACATGTGTCTTTTTCGGTTGACTTTCGTGGCCATGATGTTGACGTATATTACCGATTTCTTCTTGAAGACGATTTTTTTCGTTTCTTTGTTGTTCTTCATTATTCTTAACAATTGTTATAAGTTGTTCTTGGAAGATTTTTTCACTCTGATGAAGTTGATTCATGACATTAAAAGCGAACACTGTTTTTTCCTGTTGATCTTTTAAACCACTTAAGAATAATTGTCTCTCCCTTTGTATGTTAGTAATAGCAAAGTGACTCTTTTCTTCAATAAGATCCATATTCGGCACTATATCATTAACTGTATCTTGAGCCTCTTGATGTTTCGTACGAAGATTGTCTAATAAGACTTTTTGTTCATTAAAAGATTTTTTGTAATAATCTTTCTCTTCTAAAGCCTCTCGGAAACTTAATACCATCTGCGACCAACTATCGCAGGAACAGTTGTGATGATTACTCGAACATGTTGCTTTCGTGTAACCAGAATAAGGCTTAGATCCCGTATAATTTACATTTCCAGAATAAAAAACATTTCCTGTAAATTCTTTGCTTTCAGTATACAAATAGATTCTGCCCTTATTCTCGCCTTCGGTATAGTACCATCTGCCATGATTCGTAGCTGTCGGTTCTGGAAATTTTTTCCCACAATGTGAGCAATAGTTAGCAGAAGCTCCACAATAATCACACTTGCTATTATTACTGCTGGAAGCTGGAAATGGACCAAATTCATTACAGCTACATTTGGATCTTGCGCTAGAGATCCTATGACTATAGTTTTTGTTACCCGAATAAAACTGAGAACCATTAAACTCCACATTTCCAGAATAATGAACGTCAAAAGAAGGAGCAGACTGGGTGTACTTGGCATGGATTTTACCTTTAATCTCTCCTTCATTCATACCCCAACTTATATACAAACCCATACTAGATAGGAAACCATCAAGTTCTCCCAAGGTTTTTAATTTTGCCAGGTTACTGCTTTTATTAAGAGATTGAAGAGGAGTCTCCAATTCTTTCTTGATATCTTTTAATGTCCATTGTGTTTTTTTTGTTTTATCTCTTGTTTCGTTTACGGTATCCTTTATGCTGCTGATCTCTTCAATGTTAGTTAGTTCTGTAGAAATAACATTTTCAATACCGGATTTCATTAACTGAAGACTGCTTTCCAAGGGTTTAATATCCCTTTTATCAACTAGAGTCTGTACAGTAAGAATGAAAGAACTTTCATTACGTTTTCTTTCTTTCACATTCACGTTCTGAGGATCAGACTTTATAAAGGCACTGCTTAGCTCCTCTTTTAGTTCACCAACTTTTGATTTATCATCAATGTCATTACATTGGTATTCCATGTTTTTGATATCTTCTAATTGTTCCATTTGTCAAAATATTGACTTCTCCGTATTAAATATATTGAGTTTTGTTCTGTAGCCGCTCAAAATCAACCAACATTCAGATGAAATATGTTTCTGACACTCGGCTAAAAAAAGGATGACATTATCTTTATTTGAAATGAATAGTTTACAGTGCTGTAATTGTTACTATCTGTCAACTATTTAACTTTGTTGCTTAGTTACCTGAGAAAATAAAACAGCTAAAAATATTGGTTAAACAGTGATGGACTCTAATGATTTATAAATATTGAGAACATGTCTCAAAACTTTTGCTCCAATGAAATTCTTATATTTAATAAATGAATGAGGGTGAGAGTGAGTCTTCTGGAGAGCACATCCTGAAGAGCATTAAAACGTTTTAGCTTTCACAGCATATTTTTTTCAGCATTGATCCAATAGATAAGAAATGTTAGAGATTTCAATATTAGGCGTAGACCTTAACAGATCTCAGAATTTTGTCCACAAGAACAATAAACAACGACCCGAACAATAACACACGCACACGATGCTATTTCCTTTAATGTGTGTAGGCATGACGCCGTCGATGCAACTGGAACATATTTTCTTATCTATTTTATTTATAGATAAAATAATAAATCATAAATTTATATAATATTTATATAAATTAATCTAGTTGATGAGAATAAATAAGAAAACTATAAAACATACTTACAGTGTTGATTTGTCGTTTTTTTTCTTTTATAATTCGACAATTTGAAAGAAGTTATTAACTGTAAAATTTCCTCAAAAAGTTTGATGCATATACCAAAATCAGAGCCTATTTATTCGAATTTTTGATGATCAATGATGAAAAAGCAAAATAATTGATAAAAATAAAAAAAGGAATTCTAAATATGAATCACATTGGGTTCTTTTTTATTAGAAATTATTATTTAATATTTTTCAACGTATAATATCGAAAGGGAAAAACCCAGATGTTATCTCAGTTCCCTTTTTTTCTCTGTTCTATAATGTGAGCGAAGAAATAAATAATACTCAAACTGAGATAACATTTGAATTTTTTTTCTTTCGATATTATACGTTGAAAAATATTAAATAATAATTTCTAATAAAAA